GCGTTTCGTCTGGACATCCTGGGCAATAACACAACACGAGTGTGAGGCTCTATAACTTTTTTTCTGGGGCGAGCTCGAAAATTTGGCCGACGAATTCGTGATCCCCACCCCAAAATTACCCCGACCTGAATTTTTCAGGTCGATCTGAGGACTTTTCCAACCCGGGGACATTTAGCGGCCATCCCCGCTTTTTTCGTTTTTGCGAATTCGCCGTGGGAAATCGATAAAACTCGTTGAAACCCGGGCACCACGGACGGTTTTTTTTTTTCGCAGATCGTCATTATTTGGGCATGCAACGATAATTTTTATTTTTCAATACTTTTAGCGGGGATGGAAAGAAGTTGTCCCCCGCCCCCTAAAAAAAATCGTCTTTAGCTCGGAACCCGCTTCCCGCCCGTGAGTGTTGCGTGCTTGGCCTACCTTTGGATAAATATGTGACACAGGCCAGGGGCGCTACTCTCGTTCTTTTCCGCGGGGGCATACTGCTACAGTAGGTGTTTCGAAAAGCCCGTGGGGAGTTTGGTTTCGTATGTAGTAGCTCTCACAATGAACGACAATGCCGGGGCATGGGCTGACGACAGAGGATCGGAGGCGGATGAAACTCAGCCGGCGGCGGCGGAAAGAGCAGAATCAGCATGATATGACGTGAGATATCCTCGGCACACCAACTCCATGTATGTTGGATACGCCTCAAACCTTACTCACTGCGGATTGCACTCTACATACGTCTGCCTAGACGCTCATTTCTTGCCTCGCGCGAAATCGCGTGTGTGCTTTGTTTGCTTGCCCGGAAAAATAGGGAGTCTGGTCCCGCGCACGATCCGAAGCCGACCGTCTTCGCCTGGCGGCTCGCAATGGCACTGGCACGATGTCACCCGTAGGTTCGATGCGCTCTAACTCAGATGCACGCTACAAGCAGGATCCCGATCGATGCAAATGTGTGCTGAGTGAGGGCAGAGCAAGAGTGAGAGGCGTGTACGGGCCCACAAATCGCGTGCGGGGGTTCCAGAAAATGCAAAAATCCAAAAGGTGGAAGGCGGAGACGATTGACCCCCCCCCATCAGGGTTTGTTTCAACATCAACGGGAGAGCAGGCGGAGAGAATGGGAGGAGAGAGAGAGAGAGAGAGAGAGAGAGAGAGAGAGAGAGAGAAGAGAGACATAGAGAGAGGGCGAGAAAGAGATAGACGGCATCCGACTACAGTGGTGTAGACAAAACACTGTTTCAATATTACGGAGGAACACAGTATTCAGGTCTAAATTGCCATGAAAAATGTTTTTTTGAAAAAAATATTTCTAGGTTTCATCCGAAAATATACGCATTTGTGGGCTTCAGAACAGATCTTTGGACACCCACAAGGGGGACACGAGTATGAACGTGGGATCAAAAGAAAGCTGATGACCTCCGCTCTCTGCAGATACCCGAGTTGCGCTCAGAAAGTCTGTATTCCGTACAAAATATGCAGCTGAAAATGGGCACTTCATGCGCCTTTTTTTCACTGGGAAATAGAGCTGGAACAGCCGGGTTCTGAATTGGCAACGCACACAGAACTTTTTGGAAACCCTGGGAGTGTGCGATCCGGGCAGCGTGCCCCTTTTTGAAATCCAACACGTCGGTGTCGAGCACTCCGCTGTGGAACAGAGGCACCTTGGGTCTGGTGCCTACGGCTGCACGTGCGCACATGGTGACCAAAAGGAAGGGTCGCTATGTTGCGACCGGCGTGACAGCCAAAGGGAAGGCCAGGACGGAGAAAGCGAACTTGGCGAACATGCTGCGCGCGAAGGAGGCAGCTCTCGTTGTCCGCGAAGCAACCGTCGCCGCTCGCGAGGCCGCGATGGCGGAGGCAGAGAAGGCAGCCCAGGAGAAGCAGCAGCAGCAAGGACCCGAAGTGGACACACGTACGCCCGAGCAAGAGGCGCGCGAGCAACAAGCTGCCCAGCAGCGTGACGACTTGGCCCCCAAGACAGGCTCCCTTCTGGACATTTCACAGTCTCGTAGTATACTCCTCACGTATTTCGAGCTGGTGCAGTCAGGCGTCGAGCCGAACAAGGCTGTTCAACGGACCGCCGCAACTCTTCGCGTCGGCAAGGACAAGGTGTTCAAGGTAAGCTTCTGCTGTAACTGGTGCTGCTGCTGTGAATACTGATGTGTTACCAGTGTTGTATTCTTTTGAATAATTATTGTACAGATCATAGACTATGCTGTACAGTGTACTCTAAGTGCATAAAAAGATGCTGTAACCACTGCTGTAAGATTACTGTCGTCGTTACTGCTGTTCGTTGTGAGGATGTTTGCGTGCCTGCATACATCTGTTGTCATATTCTCACAGCATCTCGTCCGCCGGCATGGTAACAGGTTCGCGCTCATTGGTGGGAGAAGACCGAATTGTTGGCATCATCAGCGGAAGGAAGAGGTGTGTCGAGCGGGAAGGACGGGCGAAAGCTTCTTGACGACGTGCAGTGCGCCAGCCTTCGTGCTTTCATCAGCGACAAACACGAGAACGGGCAGCAAGTGTTCCGACGCACGGTGCGCGAGTGGATCAAGGAGAGATGCAACAAGGACCTTTCTAACCGAGCGGTAGGCGGGCTGTTGTACAGGATTGGGTACAGACGCCGTGGAGGAAGGATCAAAATCCCACCTCTCAACGACGACAGAAAGGCGCGCATTCGTCGCTTTCTTGTCGAGATGTCTGCTGCTCTCACTCAAGAAGAGAAAGAGGAGGCGGTCATTGTGTACATGGATGAAAGCTTTTGTCATCAGTTGCACGGGTCTGCTTACTCTTACTTTCTCACCGATGACAATGGAGTAGTGCAGGATGGGATGGGACGTACGTCTGGGAAGGGCTTGCGGATGATCATGGTGCATGCGATAACCAAGGGGGGGGCGTTGGCAGCAGTGGATGAAAACAACTTCCCAATTCCTGAAGGTTGGTTCAAGCCCAAGGACAAGGGCAAGGGCAGGCAGGGGGCGGGGTCGATGGGTACGGAAGAAACCGCAGAGATGCTGTGGCAGGCTAAACGTGCCACGGGGGATTACCACGATGCAATGAAAGACAAGATGTTCATGGAATGGCTTGAACGGCGCCTGGCACCGGCCTTTAAGGCCAAGTATGGCAACAAGAAGATGATTTTTGTTCTCGATAACGCATCGTAACACCACGGGTATGACGCAGAGGTGGGGGTGCCTGAAAGCAACAGTAAGGGGTACAACACTGGGCTTTTGCGCAAGTACAAGTGCAGGAAGATCACCGTGGAGCGAGAGGTGACCGGTAGCGCAGGTGTACGGAGCAAGACGTATACCTTCCAGGTACCAGCCACTGGAACGTTTCCCCAGGCGAATTCGAAGTGCGGTAAGGGCGTTAGCGGCCCCGAGGTAGCTCTGGCAACGCGAGCGTTCTTTCAGCTCAAGCATCCCACGAAGCTCATGGAGAAAGTGGAGACGTTCATGAACGGGCGTGGTTGGCGGCTGATTTGGACCCCCCCGTATATGCCGAGTTTCCAGCCGATCGAACTGTTTTGGCAGCACGGCAAGCAGTATGTGAGCTTCAACTTTAAGACGAAGCGCACGATGGCAGAGGTTTGGGCGCAGGTTCGGAAAGGGTGGTACGGAGATCCCACGTGGGAAGGGCAGGAGGGGGGTTGGAAACCGGCGGACTGTAGCAAGCTCGTTGCACACGCCGTTAAGGAGATGAACAAGTGGGTTGCGAGTGACCCTGTTCTCAGGGGTCAGATGGGCGCTCTTGAAGAGATTCCCGAGTCGTACGAAGATGATGCTCCTGGGCACAACGACATCGTACACGATGATGGCGTCGAGGCCCAGGAGCAGCTTGAGTTGTCTGCCGAATTTATGGAGTGTATGGGTGACGAGGATGCCGACGGCGATGCAGAGGTGTAGACATCAACGAGATTGAAACTGGTTTTGTTGCGTTGGATTATTGGCGTATTGGCGTTTGCTTTCAGCACCTCTATCATGCAGAGGTCCTCTCCCCTGAGTCAATGTGGTGTTTTGAGATTCCAAGGGAATGGCAGTTTTATGTTTTCATTCGTTCTGTGTGGTGTCTTCAGCTCAATCGTCAATGAGCAAGGTTGACGTGTTGCGGTCGATAATACATGATAATTTATAAACACCAACAACATTTTATTCAGCATTTCTTTTCTTGCATGGCGATCCCAGTGATGCGGTTCGTGTTAGCTGTGGGTGGTGGACATAAGCAGCCTTTTGCTCAAGATACCAAACAACCTGAGCCAAATTTTCCGCCGACGAGAAGGCCGAAATTCGACACATGTGGCGATTTCTCTTCGGGAAGAACTTTGTGTTTTAGATTTTTTTTTTCATGATAACGGCGTTGATCATGCCATTCATTCAAGCCATCGTGGGTTAACGTGCATGAAAAAACCGCCGAGATATGCTAGGATTCGCGCCATATCTAGAATCTGCCCCGCGGGGTAAAAAATGACATAATGAGGCGTTTCTCTGTGGCATCGCCGAATTTTTTCTTTCTTTTTTTTTCATCGTAACCGCCTGTTCCATACGGTTCGTTGAAGCTATAGTTCGAAAAAATTGACCTTATATTGCTCTACCAACTGCCAAGGACCTGAACACTATGTTCCTCCGTAATAGCATAGCTCGATTGTTTCGCAACAGTTAGAAAACAGAGATTGCCTTCTCAGCGCTGCGACGAACGCGCATCCCCACCTTCTGCCTCTTCCTTCTTTACTGGTCCCTTGTCCTCCTTTGCTGCTGCACCCTCCCCACTTTGTACACCGTCGTCTATCGCCCCGTCAGCAGCAGAGGCTTCAACAGCAGCAGCAGCAGGAGCAGCCGCAGCATCACCCGTATCGGCCCCATCGGCAGCATTGCTACTATCCTTCCGGGCGGCTTCTTCCTCGGTCCCATTGCTGCCATCTCCTACTTCAGCGTCGTTCTCGCCACTAGCCGCGGATATCGACATCCATGGCTGCGCTGGGCAAGAGAGGTGTCGACGTCTAGTTTCGCGTAAACTACGTGTATCATGTGTCCGCTGGCGATGCCGCTGTTGATGCGGCCTTGATGTCGCTTTCCCAGCGTAACCGACGAAGGCGACCGCATTTCGACAGGTCAAAAGGACCGCCGCTGGCCAAACGAGCTTCATCGTTCTGCTGGTACGATCCTCTGCTGCGACGAAAGATAGGTGCGTGTGCGCGGCAGCGACGTACAATTTGCTAGGGAGTAGGGAGCAATCGCCGACGCAATCGTGCAGGGGGGCTCCGTAGTTTGATCACATGCATCCAAATCTCCCCCCCGCCCCCCCCTGCATGGGTTCGAAAACGGTTCACATGTATGTAAGTGTGTGCAAGAGTTGTAGGTCTAGACTACATGATGTCTCTCGTCCGCTCGTCTTCAAGTCTAGTATTTTTCCTTTATGAAGTCTACTGCTGTATATTTGATCTGTCTGTAGCATCATGGCAGAGCGTTCGTTTGTGGTATCTCCGGGTGACTGCCGTAAACCACCACAAACAAGATGATCAGATCGCAGTTCGTATCACACCGAAGGCAGCGGTGCTCGGCAGCAGTCCAACGGAACTCTTGAGTGTCGGCGCGCATCATTTGTCGTCCTTTTCCCGACGCAATGCAGCCGGTTAACTAGTGAATTACTACAGCCGCAGCAGTACCGTCCCGCTACTATGCACGGCGTATGAATTTAGACATGTCATATCGGTGGAGGCTCAGCTTCATTTTTCGTCGCCACCGAACACGTCGAGCAGAGGAATAATAATATAGTGCACGGGTGCATTCATTGTACGCGTAGCACGGCTCGATACAGAATAGCTAACAGAGAAGGGTCTATTATCCCGAGAATCTCTCTTCCCACTTTTTCGTGAAGGATTTCAGCCTTTTACATTTGCACTGATGTGCAACTCCTCGACGAGTTTCGTCGGCGTTGCTTTCTTGTTTTTCTTACGGGAAGCCGCAATTGCTTCCTACGTAAGGTGGTTAATGACACTCTCGAGCACGAGACACTGCGGCCGGTCGCCCCGGTGGTCTATTGGGTAGCCTCGCAGCCTGCTAAGGACCGGGTCATGGGTTCGAGTCCCGACAGAGTGAGTTGATTCTCGCTTATTAAATCCTGGTCTCCGTTGGAAGCGACGCGCTGCAAAGCTCGTTGTTAGTAAACTTGATCGACTTCATAAGTCGCGAGGGAAGGGATTGCTGTACCCTTCTCGCGATGAAAATATCTCGGGCAGGAACCGCAGGAGGAGGTCCGACCCCCCCCTCCTTTGTGACCCCGGTTGGGTCGTCTAGCTGTTAGAAGTGGAGGATAGGGGCCAGAGGGGCAGACGACAGAGTCCAATGATGGGAGAAAAACAAAATAAAAACAAACAAACTGCGAGAACAAAGAATGAAGACGTCCAGACCGCAATGAAGACCTAGAAACTATCATCGTGCTGACGATGACAATGCCAAAGAACCACTGTACTGCTGTGTAGATGCGAAGAAAGTCTACGATAACAAGATACACGTATGGAATACAAAAAAGAAAGTAACGCGCGAAAGAAAGAAATTGCATGGAAATCCCCCTCGAGCAGTTCTCCCCGTTGGGCTGACAGGGCCTATGAGGCTTCCCACCGGATGGGCTGCAGCGGCACCGGCGGCGAGAGTGGTGACCCCCGGCGGCAGGGTTCTCCCCGCGACGCCGGCCGGAGAGGCGGCCTTGGTGCAGGCACTGGCGGTTAGAGCGGTACCATCGGTAGCAACGCCGGCGGCGAGAGTGTTGACCCTTGGCAGCAGAGATTTTCCCGCGGCGATGGCGGCGGCGGCGGCGGCGGGGGAGACGACCAGGGCGCAGGCACCCGTGGCGGGAGCGGCAGAATCGGCAGCAGCACCGGCGGCGAGAGGGGTGACCGCCGGCAGTCATGTTTTCCCCGCAATGCCGGCCGGGGGAGCGGCCGGGGCGCAGGCACTCGCGGCTGGAGCGGTACCATCGGTCGTAGCACCGGCGACGAGAGTGGCGACGCCTGACGGCAGAGTTTTCCCCGCGGCGGCAGCGGCGGGGGGGGGCAGACGGCCGGGGCGCCGGCACTTGCGGTGGGAGCGGCAGCATCGGCAGCACCACCGGCGGCAAGAGGGGGGACCACCAGCAGTCATGTTTACCCGCAGCGGCGGCCGGCCGGGACTTGTGAAGGATTTAAGCAACTTTTACTTTTTGTGCATGCAGTTGACGGCACCAGTCTAACGATGCGGAGAATGAAACAAAAGAACGGCTATCGTACGTGCGTGCAACCGCGCAATCTCCACCAATTTGACGAACTCGAGTCTAACATGTGCCCGCACGCGACCATGGGAAAAAATCAGTCCGGGACCACCCCAGGCACCACCATTATTACAAATCATGGGAATCTCCGGCCGTACACACACAAATAGACAACACGCCTCGTTCTTCGTGAGATGCACACCGAGTGCAGCATTTGGATTCAACGAAGACGCTTGCTTGGGGTTGGAGTTTGAAGGACATGTCAAGGCCCGACGCTTAACGTCAGACCCCTTGTTCACGAAAGAGTCTTGCAGCCAACGAGTGCAGTCTCCAGCTCAACACCGCCCCGACCTGCTATGCATGAGAGACATGATGAACCACGCCCCGCTTCCGTAATGCGCTCATGTTTCTCCCTGGCGTACTCCGACCAAACACCAGCACCATCATGAAGCGAATGGGGACGGACTCCGCCGCTCACGTAGGTTCGAATGCACCGAAACTCACCAAGAACCTAACTGTCTAGACTAGAGCTTGAGAGTAACGCGTGAGAGAGCAACAGCAGCCGCAGCTGTGCTCGGCCGCTGACAAAAAATGCTTGGTGAAATCGCCGGACGGAGATGGCCCGCGGTGTGTGTTGTTTGTGTGTGTTTTTATTATTAGCATCGACCGCGCTAACCGGCTGACCAATGAAAAGACGTCAGTCTTAGTGCGGTTGAAAACACAAAACACTTCTATCCACCATGAACTGGGACCCCGTGAGGGGGCAGCATGGGGGAGGCTAAACTATCCTTCGGATCAAAAACAGAAGCAGCAGCAACAGACGAAGAATGCACCCGTCTACCAAGGCTATTACCTAGTACTCGAGTTCGTTTAGGAGTACTTTCACCAGTGTCCTCCTTGTTTTCGCTACCATCATTCTGATCCTCATTTTGACAAGAAGAATCTCTGGGCAGTTCTTCCCTAGCCCTACGTTTCTTGTTGTGGGGAAGGTCATCTGGCTCAAACCCTTTGCTCTCTTCCACTCCTCCATGTTTT